GTAAGGTCGCTGACTGATGGCAGGTCAAAATCAGACGATGGATTCAGGGAAGGCAATTTCTAGGGAATCCTTCGATCTGATCCAACAACGGAGTGTAAGACGAAGCCACACATCTCTGAGATATTTTCTTGGGAAACACAACAGTTAAATGAGCAAATCGCATTGAGCTAAGGTCAGGTATGAAGGTCACACCAAGGCCAAAACCAAACTGTTTTGTTACTCTAGGGCTTGCTGAATGGAATAGTTTCTGGTGCTCATTTCTAGTTTATTGATAGCAGGAACTGCATTACACATCTTTCATGAACTTTTGAGAGGTCAGAATAGGTCATTGACCTAAAATAAATTAGGTCAACCTTTTGTTTTAGGAACATACTGCCTAGCGTTATCTTTGTTGCTTAGTCAAATGCAAAACTCAAAGCAATTTTGTATGATTTTGGTCACCTTGACCTTCAAAAGGTCAAACGAGGTCGCTGACCTTGAATGAGAATGTGGCCTTTTGCTTAGAGACGGTTATCTACGTTCTGGGGGCACTTTGAAGATCAACCTGGAACTTGACCTTGTTTGACCTTTTTTGACCCGAAGGTCATGACCTAGAAACCTGAAACTTTGACCTAATTGAGTTCGGGGGTCTGCATATGCAATAGTTCCATAGGGGTCTGCAAATGCGGTAGTGCCGTCCCCAGCGCTCCTGATTGCTGGATTCGTCGGTTGCTGGCCGCCGCCTACGTCAGCAATATACTGCCGTCCAATGTTCATAAAATACCTCTGCTACTAGTTGGGCCGCATCCACTCAGAAATAAGAAATACTAGACACACGATGTTGTGTCTAAACATGCTCAATGAATCCTCCTCAAGTCCTCCCCAATCCTCCTGAATGTCTTGGTGCAATTACGCGACTTACCAAATATATGCTGGAAAGAACTTAAGTGGGGAGGAGGTCCCATTGCCCTTTGCCAGGATAAAGATTTAAAGTGCATTTTGGATTGTTAGGCAGGCAGTGGGCAGTGCCTCCGAGATTTCCCGATCAAAAACAAAGCCGGAGCCCGCGATCTGCACTCGTCGAGGTCCCTGAAACAAAGGGTCCTCACTGTTGGGCTCCGCACCCGCCGCACACGCATACAATCGTTTCATATTGTCATCGCGCCCCTAGAAATGGCCGGCTCGGCGGTACTGGGTGCCTACGCAGTGGGGACATCCAGGCAGCTGTAAATGCAAAAGAGTGCTAACGAATACACGCGATGGCTGTCTTAGTGTGCGCCTATAAGTGATTTTGCCGGGCTGCCGCATTCGTGGCATCACCCTACCGGTCGGCTCTGGTCCCAGTCGGCAATGTACTGTCATAGCGCAAAAAGGACACGCTGACCGATCGACGATTTATATTGGCATTTCATAGGCTCCCACAATGGCATTGCTTGAGTATGGTCGTAACCGCCGCCCAAATATAGAAGCATTTTATTTTGTCACCCGTAACTCGAAAATTGCCGGCTCGCCAGCACTGAGTGCATCCGCCGTTGGGACAGCTACTGGCAAAACAATGATGACGTCACAAAAGACAGCTGTTGCGCAGCTAGCTGATGGCTGTAGAAGAGTGCCCACGAATGTACCCAGTGGCTGCCTTGGCGTGCGCATATAAGCCATTTTGTCGGCCACCGTATGCTGGTCACCCCGCTTCCGGTCAGCTTTGGCCATGGTCGGCAATGCACTGTCATAGCGCAGAAAAGGCCATGTCTTCCGATCAGCAGTTTATGTTGGCGTCTGATAACGCTCCCACAGCGACATTGTTTGAGCAAGGTTACATCCGTCGCGCACGCATGAGAGAACTTTGTATTGTCATCCGTAACTCCAGAAAAGGCCGGCTCGCCAGCACTGAAAGAGTTTGTCGTTGCACCAACCAGGGGTCTCGATTTATTGAAAGTTTTGCAGGGGGCCCAACCCAATGGCCGATTAGCCCGCCAAGCAAACGTAAAAACAAATGCTGGATTAATTGGTTAGCCTTCACTTGCCTCCCCCCAAAAAAACTAGTCGAGCTACGCTCACTTAATTTTCGTTTTATGATTCTTTCCACACCGAAGTATATTTCGGTTCTTATGAACTAAAAGCAGAAATGATAGCGAGTGTAAAAAGGTGCACTGCACACTTTGACGACAAAATCTGTCACTTTTTCGCAAAAACACTTTTATATCTCCTAGTCGCGTTGTGGGAGGCCATTACCACCATACCACCCCTTCAGTCCCCCAAAGCAGCCAACAAACAGAGTAGGATCATCGAGTCCCACATCACAATTACAAAATTCTTCTGACTGGCCTATGTATTTTCGGTCGCATGTAACACATTTCTATCCCAATAAAAAGAATGAAGCTTCTCCCCCTGCCTTGAGGGAGGGGTGGCCATCGCGCTGTTGCAAACTTAAGAAGCAGCCTTGCTTGAGCCGCCGTGAGCGTTGGTGCAGCACAGTACAAAAGCGGCGGCGGCGGCGGTGGCTCAGCAGTAGCATACAACAGCAGCGGTGGCAGCATAACACTGGGCAGTCGTAATGGCGGCGACATGCCATTGGACGATAGCGACGGCTGCTAGGCGCTGGACAGCGGCGGTAGGTACTGGCACTTAATGATCTACCAACGGCCAAAAGTGCTACACCGCTGACTTGACGTCGAGGCGAATTGCTTCAGTTCGGCCTGCAGATCCGTGGCGGCCACCACGTCTGGGTATGTGGCCAGCACTGCGGCGTGATTTAGCCGCCCCTGGCCTAGAGTGGAGCGCAGCCATCCCCTCAGACGACAAAGAAGGCTGAACGCCCGCTCTGCCGTAAACGATGTTGCTTGGGCGGTCAGAACCACACGTAGCAGCGAGGCAGCGGCTGGCAGCACCTGCCGCAGGCCCTCATCGCTCAGTAGGGCCACCACGTCGTCGAGGGAGGTCAGTGGTGCCTTTCTCTGGCTTGACGCCACATCCACCAACATCTGGCAGTGGAGGCGGAGTCGCTCCAGGTCGAGGTCGTGGAAGGTGGCGGCTGCCACCAGGGCGTCCTCTTCCGCCGTGAGGAGCGTTCCCTCGGCCGTGAGGAGCGCTCTCTCGGCCGTGAAGAGCGCTCTCTCGGCCGTGAAGAGCGCTCTCTCGGCCGTGAAGAGCGCTCTCTCGGCCGTGAAGAGCGCTCTCTCGGCCGTGAAGAGCGCTCCCTCGGCCGTGAAGAGCGCTCTCTCGGCCGTGAGGAGCGCTCTCTCGGCCGTGAAGAGCGCTCTCTCGGCCGTGAAGAGCGCTCTCTCGGCCGTGAAGAGCGCTCTCTCGGCCGTGAAGAGCGCTCTCTCGGCCGTGGCCAGGATGGGCTCATCAGAGCCGAGCCGACCGCTGATGAAGCCGGCCAGCCAGTCGACGGCTTCGCACTGCACCTGACGGCAGCGGTCTTTGGACAGGCATGCTGGTGTGGCTCGGCGCCCTCGTCCAGTCGCCGAGGTGGTCGCATCGGGCGTCGCAACCTGGGATAGCCCACTCTTAGGCGCTCCGCGTCGGACGTCAGCTCCGCCCAAAGGCGTTCGAGGCGGTGACGCTGGGGCATGGTGACATCCCTGACAGCACGTGCGACCTCCAGACCGGCAGACACCGACTGCACCTGTCCTTGCATAGTGTGCATGCAAGGACGGCGTGGTCATCTGGAGCGGGAGTAGAGCCACGCGCAGGCCAGAGAAATACAAAAGTCCCTGAGGGTTCTGCCAAGGCCGCTAGCAGTGTCTGACGCCTCCGGACGCATCGTAACAACGTCGAAGCAGTTATCGAAAGCTTGAAAATAATTGCAAAGGCGCGCATTGCACAGCGTGAATAAAGTGAATAATCCGTGGAGGGTTCTGATCGATGACTCCCCCGGCATGCTAGAAGACAGGGCCACAAAAAAACGTCGTAAAACCCTCCAAGCAAATGCAAAGAAATCAAGGTCAACGTGGGACGCTCCTTTGCAATCGCATTGGCCATGCATGTGGACGCATAGGGCCCCGGCAACATTGCAGAGCCTCTGGTCAGCCTAATGATCCTTAAAACCTTCCAGTGACCACTCTCAACTAGCAAGCAATTATTTTTGTTTACACGTGGGTCCTTCACTTTCGCTTGCGACTGCTCTTGGTCACCTGGAGGCCCAAAGACGTCCAATTCTGTTCCGTGTGGGGCAAAAAACAACTGCCTCTGCCCGGCCGGCTACGGGTCTCTTCGGAGCAAATATTGGTTGATGATATTAAGGGCTTATGGGCGCGTCGACTACATTACCATTTCTCGTCCTCTCGGAAACTCCACTGCATACCACTCAGTGATAACTGATTCATTTACATATCGCCCCGCACCTGATATGCGTACCTATAGGGTTGGACGGCTATAAATAATGATAAAAGTAATATGGACCAAGAAAGCGAGTATGTCTACATCACAACGTGGGTCCCGACCCAGGGGCCTTTAACCTAGGGGCCTTTCGGGGCCGGAGGGGCACGGCCCTGTGCCCCTCCCACTGGGTCTGCCACTGGTACGGACAAGGCAGGAAATGCACCCCGTGTCTCTGGTTTCCCAGATACCCTGCTCAATCCCTGCTCTACCAATACTTAGAATTGGGCACAGTTAGATAAGACTAGTTCTCAGCCTTCCGCTGCCTGGGTAATGGAGAGACAACGAAATGGGTCGGGCGCGGGACACCGCATCTCACGCGTCAGCGCGGCAAAGTAGAAGCGGTGACGCCAGCGACGCTCGATCCGAGATGGCGACACAGTAGACTGCCAACAGCTAGCCTTTTTGACCCCAGCGCAGTTTAAACCGTTTAAGCCGTACAGTGACATTAATGACATGTCAGGCCAACCCATTTTATTGTATTGCAGACAAGGGCCATTTGGCGCCACTCAGCCCTTGTTCATGCGTAGCCGATCTGAACGCGACACCATAGCGCAGGGTTTATTCTAGACGCATCTGTCCCATCCTGATGCTTCAGCAACTTTCCGCCGCCGCCGCGACCACAGACCCCGTCAGCGAGCACATGTATTACAACAACGCGCGCCTGGGCAAGATCCAGTGGTAGTGAACGCTGGCCGCTTCAGCCCAGCGACACGCCACCCCTTCCACACGTGCCGTGATAACGATGGAACAGAGTACACGCTCCGCGAACGCAGCCCTATGGACCCACAAGCCCAGCGGAGGCAGCCCTACGGACCGACAGGCCCTGAAGGATGCCCTACGGACCGACAGGCCCCGTGAAGGACGCCCTACGGACCGACAGGGCCTGAAGGACACCCTACGGACCGACAGGCCCCGTGAAGGACGCCCTACGGATCGACAGGCCCCGTGAAGGACGCCCTACGGATCGACAGGGCCTGAAGGACGCCCTACGGACCGGCAGGCCCTGAAGAACACCCTACGGACCGACAGGCCCTGTGAAGGACGCCCTACGGATCAACAGGACGCACCGGCACACAGCACGTCTGAACCGGTGAAGGCTGGGCGTTGGAGAAATGGGGTGATTCGAGGCCTTGCAATGGCGATTATCCGAATATTGAAACATCGTCCGAGAGACCCATACACAGGCACGTGTACGCAAATTCAGGACAGATAAGACCAACGATCGGTCACACAGAGCACACACACGTGCACAGAAAGAGCCTCTGGATAACCATCCCGTTGTGGCACACGTTCACTGGGCAACACTACGGAAATGCGTCATTGCACGACTCACAACGATTTGCTATGATTGGTGCGGTAGCAGCCTGTCCGGTCGGTCCATGCTGGGGACCTCATAGACACGGGTGCGCACACTAAAATCACTGACGCGTCCCGGCCGGTGCATAGCGTAAACACATCACACTCTAACATAACACGTCGCAAACGTCATACAATCGGCCGGCTCCGCCACGCCTGGATACCACACTCGGTCACAAATGAGCCCAAATCACTGCATGCTGCATGATCGACACGATGGTTGCACGGGGTGCAGTGTGTGGGAGGCCAAGCCGGGATTAACTCGTCATCGATGCACAGCACACATGCCGACTAGCGTGGCGCCGCGCCTGGCCACTTGCGCCGCCCTGGTGTCCGCCGCGGCCCGCCGAGCGAAAGACCGATCCAATGCCCTGGCTACGGTATTTACACGAACGCGTCGCCTCTCGCCGCAGCTGAGCGCGGCCGCTGCAACCCGTGCCCCCCGGCAGCGACAGTGGCACACGAGCCTCACTGGCACGCCGGAATCTCCCGTCACCGGACGGGCGCTGGGTGGGCCCCGCCGCCGGCACGTCCACAGGCCCAGTGACTTCTGCCTTCACAGAGGCGGCGCTGACAGGCTGGCACCCCACGATTTGCTAGAGACAATGCCCGTGCTCTGGACCGGCAGGGCCACGATCTGGCAAGCCTGTTCACTCGTAGGCTGGGGAGAGGCCGAACAAGAATGGGACAGGACAGGTAAGCACATGATACGCAGAACCCCTATGGCTAAGCTCAGTATACAGGGCCCGGCCGCCGGGTCCCGAGGCGTCTGGACTGACTGTGGCGGCGAGGCGTGACGTCGCGCGCCCGGCCAATCTCGGTCCGCAGGTCGGCACACTGTCGCCCACGGTAGCCGGTCGGCGGGTGGCTCCGTTCTCGCGGGTACGCCGCCACATGACGAGCGTCCGCAGGCGCCGCTGACGGCCGTTCGCCCGCCGCACACGGCAGCCGGGGCCCGGCACGGCCGCTCCGGCCGTCTCACCCCTCCGGGACCCCGCTCACAGCGTGCGCTTACGGCGACAGACACGCTTGTGCTCCTTGTGCCAGTGGACCTGGCGGCGGCGCAGAGAGTTAACGGCCCACGCCTCTGCACGCGGGTCACGGCGACGGCGGTGCGACGTGCGATGTGCTCTGAGCAACAGCCCCGGCGTCTGTCACGTCATGCTTTACTCCGCCAATGACGATAGGCCAGCCGGCGTCTGATTACGGCTGGGCTGCACGGCAAAAGAGAACAAGAAATTTAAATTTCAGGCCCCAAAGCAAGGCGGAAAGACAGAGAGTGCGAGTGAAATATAGAGCTTTTGATAAAATCAATGTTTCGGCAGATCGCTTCAAGCCACTCGCCCCGCCTGCACGCCCACTCACCTGTTGGCACTCGGTGCTGCAGTAGGCGGTGTTCCAGCAGCAGTGGTAGATGGCCTCCTGTTCGCAATTGAAGCACCACTGCTTGCGTTTGGAGGCGGACAGCTGCTGGCGGTACTGGGTATCCAGGCTGGCCAGCTCCTGCTTGTGCGCCTGGCGCGCCCGCTCCAGCTCCTTCTCCAGCTGACGGACGCGCTCCTCGCTGACGGCCGGGCTCGGCTGCAGACAAGATACAGCGTCCTGTGACGGCGCTGCCGTCTTGGAACCACCGCTTGACCTTGGGTACCGGGTCCGCGTCGCGTCGCGTGCGTGCAGCGCTGAGAGCGAGGGTGGAGATACGACTATCCCGTTAACGTTCGCAACGAGATCCATTCAAGGCGGTCATATTGCAAGGCTGTGTTCAATCATGTTGTACGTTAGCTGCACTGTGTAACGCCATTAGTCATGCAAGCCATCTCAAACACAAACGGCGAACATTCCCGTGATGGAGACAGAACGACGTCATCAATACGGACAGCATGGTGACGCCACGCTGCGTGAACAGTGCAGCGCCCAGTGGCGGATCCACAGGGGAGATCACGGGGCTGTGCCCCCCTCCCCCCCCCCCGCCGCTGGGCCCGAAGGGGCCTGTAATAGGCTCTAAAGAGGCCATAGCTGGCCGAGTAGGCGCAGTTTTTTTACCCTAAAAGAAACAAATTTGGACATCTTTGAGTCTCCCAGCGACCAAGAATAGTCACAAGCGATATTGGAGAACCCACGACCAGACAAGAATAATTATTTGCTGATTGAGGGTGGTGATTAGGGAGCAGCACTAATTCATGTACACTGGTCTTAGGTTATTCCCGTTTGCTCAGGAGGCCCTGCGCTTTGGCCGGTACCTTACATGTTAACCTGTCGGGGCAGTCACGATCGTTCAGGGGCCCACCACATTGGTATTGGGTTCTTCTCGCTTGTTTATAGGTCCCTATGTTGCTAACGGGTGTCTTTTTGTTGCCCTACCCAAGCCCCGTTCGATCGCTCAGGCGCTGTCCCCATTGATCTCTGATTGTCAAAGTTTAGCGGAAGGCTAGCCGTTGACGGGGACAAAAATATTAATCGGCCGGGCGCTCTTCGCTCGCTCCGTCCAGGGGCCCTCCACATTGGTCGTGGGGTCCCATCCATTAAGTAAGAAGGATCTCACTCCGCTGCCGACAGCCCCACACGTGTTTGCAAACGTCAGCGCGTTTTGTCTGCTTGTGGGCACGGGTCCGGCCAAATTGCTGCATGTACTTAAATCCGAGATCTACACGATGCCGATTTGCCTTGACACCTCAGCCTTAGAGCTGCAGCAGTGGGACCTGCACCGATGAGTCTTTACTCGCAATTGCCGAAGGAGCTTTACGCGTCGCCGATGCCGCCTGTGGCACTCGTTATGTCTGTGCACCACGTTCTTTACATATGTTGAATGCTAGGATATTGCGTACTCCATAATGGTCAAAGCAAGAACTCTACATTAGTCATCAGCCATCAACTGACCATATCGCCCAGCCGGCTAACCAAACGAAGTCGGCTAGTGTTAAATAACCTTGAAACAAAGTCGGCGCACTTGATTTTGATGGTATCCAGCAGTCAGTTCTAGTCAATTTTGCCATATTTTTCTCCAAAATGCTTGTCCTCAAAATGACAGGATCCGCCATGATCTGGAGAACATGAGGGCATTCCATGTAAGTATATGCATTACACGCCTAGTTTTCTAGAGCTGCGCGCAGTAAGATGGGTTCTCGTATATCAAAAAGCATGCCAAAAAAATCCTAAAATTGAACGACCGGAATACAAGAATTTTTTCCTTTACGGGCTCCAAACTCTAGGAGGCTCCACAACCTTGGACCTGGACGACATCCTGATCGGGTCACTGGCGGAGCCGCCGTGGCCTTACGTGTTGCTGCTCGGTGGCGCCGGTGCGCAGGAACTTGGCCGGCGTCTGGGTGGCGACGGTGCGCGGCTGTGGCTCTTGGCACGATGACGTCACCTGGTCGTCGGGCGACGGCAGGCAGGCCGGCTGTGGAGCGCGCGCGTCCGGTCACACCACTCGCCACTGTCACATCCCGTCAGCCCGAGTGGCCGGTGTGAGCTCGGCACGCGGCGAGGGCAGGAGGAGGAGAGAGGGGAGAGGGCAGGAGAGGAGGAGGGCGAGCGGCGAGGGTAGGAGCGGAGAATTGGCGGGCGACGAGGGCAGGAGGGGAAAATTGGCGGGCGGCGAGAGCAGGGGTGGAGGGGAGACGGGGCGAGCGGCAAGGCGATCAGGCACACGCCAATGAATGGATGACGGTCGTGTGCACCATGACCACTGACGCACAATACGTAAATACACGATATGACTGCTGGCACGACGGAAGCCGGCTGGACGGCAGCAACCAGGCAACAACGACAAGGAAAGGCTCTCCCCACCTGCTTGTCGTTCTCCACCTTCTGGACGACGATGGAGCAGTCCTTGACCTCGACCAGGCCATCCTCGTCCGGATCGAAGGCCCTGCGACGTCGCTTGGTCGGAGGCGGGGCGGCGCCCTCCCGCAGCGGCGAGTCGGTCGACTCTGGCTCTGACTCGAGTCCCGGCTCCGAGTCGGAGTTGAGCAGCGACGGCTGCTCCTCCACGCGGCGCAGCTGCGCCTGGTGCCGCTTCAGCTCGTCATGGGCGCGCGTCCAGGGGTTGCTTCGCTTGATCTGCCGGCGGTGGGACGGGCACGGTGTTACGGAGGAGCGCGGCGGTGCCGGTCCAGCGGAGCAAGCCGGCTTGTCGATACACTGGCGCCGACAGACGAAACGTGATGCGGCGCGTAGGAAACCAAACACCGACACATCATGCATGCCTATATTGATAATAAATATAAGACCATCCGGCCAGGGTAAACTTAATGATCATCTTCGTTAAGTTGAGCATGATTGAAGACAGTTATAAGGTGGAACATAGCGCATGCACAAAAGAGAGATCAAAAAAGAGATGAGCATGAATGTATCAGTACAAACCGAAAGGCGTGGTTTCAAACACCCGCTTTCCGTTGCTAACTTACTGTTTCTCTCATTTCTTTCAGCGGGGATTATCCAGACTATCACTTCATTTTAAAGCACGAGGGTGAGCAAATGGTCCTAAACACCACTAAGGGCGTGACCGGGAGCGCTTCTTGTCCCCTGTTCATGCAAAGGAAGAAATAGACAAACCCTGCGCTTCGGAGGCAATAAGCAATGGCAAATAGGCGATGCACAGCCTGGGACAAACAGCAGCGCGCCGCACCTGTAGCGCCTGCAGCGAGGTAGTGATGGGCCGGATCTGCCCCCGCGTCACGAACGCCCTCTCGTGAGGCTCGCCGAAAAATCGCACATCAAACATGTCGTTCTCCGTCTTCATCACCTGCGGGCACAAGTCTCGCGGCGTGAAGTGTCGGCAACGCAAAGACATGTCGTTCTCCGTCTTCATCATCTGCGGGCACAAGAGTCTCGCGGCGCGAAGTCGTGTCAGCAACGCAAAGACATGTCGTTCTCCGTCTTCATCACCTGCGGGCACAAGAGTCTCGCGGCGTGAAGTCGCGTCAGCAACGCAAAGACGAGCCGGACGAGCTTGTCTGTGCGCTGCTCGTCCGATTCCAACCGTGACTAACGCACAGACGAGCGAGCTATGCGAGAGTCAACACACGAGCAGTGGGAGGGAGCATGTTCCGTGGCTAGATCAGTTAGGGCGCCCACCTCCCAGCCTACCCGCGGCCGGATAGCTGGGTTCAAGTCGCTTCGACGCTCATCATTAGCCCCTCGCTGGATGTCCTACGGCCGGCAGCAGCAGCAGCCCAAGGTAAGATGAGGTCGGAGGGCGGGGCGGACCGTCCCGAACACTGTAGCACGTTCAACCCTCGCCACACAATTTTGTCCGTTGAGTTACAATGTACCATCGGATGGTGGGATCAGGGTTCACCAAACAAGCACTGCTTCGTGCGAACTCCGATCGCAGAAGTCAATCCAATGCACATGTTTGGACTAAATATAACAATAAAATGTGATGAACTAGTTTAGCGTTGCTCGTAAGATACACGTGAACAACGTGCATACCAAAGTAAGTCGATATCAACATCCAGTTTTCAGCTGTCAGCCCACCAGACACTGCCGTGAGCCAACTCTGCAGCGGACGCTGTGTCACCTCTGGTCCGGGGTCGCACATCTCCTGTCGCCTCTGGTCCAGGGTCGCACATCCCCCGACACCGCGCCGTGCCGCCTACCTTGGCGGGCCAGAACGGGTAGCCCTTCTGCTTGGCGAAGACGAGCTCGTGCGGCGGCCGGCAGGGCCGACAGAACCAGTTCTTGCCGGGCTTCTCGTTGGACATGCGGTAGCAATCGCGGCAGATGCGGATCTCCTGGACGTCATGCAGACAGTCCTGCAGCACCTGGCCGGCCACCGCCGCCGCCTGCGACTCCGCTGCCGGCCAAAGCCACCGACCAGCATTCCATGAGCGCTGGGGCAACAGCGAGGCCGGAAACGGACCACCGTCCTCGGCAGCGTGAGCCAAGACTGATTCAGACACAAAGCATGAACTGTAGACACTTTCGAGACTTGCAGACATTTGAAACCATCCTGCAGTAGTCAGAGCGGTTGACGCGGCTTTGCTTTGTCCCCAAGGCATAGGCAGTACGCTACACATGCAGTACATCCTGATTTCACTGCGGTTAATAACGCTTTATCGCTTGCTGGAGATCACCGCCATTGCGCAATCAATAGTGGAATCCGTGCTCCTCCATTATTTCTCAATACTGACCTGCAGTTTCTGATCAGTCAGCCCACAGAAATTAATATATATATATATATATATATATATATATATATATATATATATATATATATATATATATATATTATATCTGCGTGCGTGCGTGCGTGCGTGCGTGCGTGCGTGCGTGCGTGCGTGCGTGCGTGCGTGCGTGCGTGCGTGCGTGCGTGCGTGCGTGCGTGCGTGCGTGCGTGCGTGCGTGCGTGCGTGCGTGCGTGCGTGCGTGCGTGCGTGCGTGCGTGTGTGTGTGTGTGTGTGTGTGTGTGTGGGTGTGTGTGTGTGTGTGTGTGTGTGTGTGTGCAGTGGGGAGCACGTGGGGTGCATTTTGATTTGATATGCGGGCAATAACGTGACGCTCAAGCTACTCTTCACACTGCTAGATGATTTTTGCGTTAACAACGGGCGTCGGGTGGTGGCGGTGCGTTGCCCGCAGCGGTGCAGGGTGGTGGCAGTGCGTGCCCGCAGCGGCGCAGGGTGGTGACAGTGCGTGCCCGCAGCGGCGCAGGGTGGTGGCAGTGCGTGCCTGCAGCGGCGCAGGGTGGTGGCAGTGCGTGCCCACAGCGGTGCAGGGTGGTGGCAGTGCGTGCCCGCAGCTGATCTGTGATCAGCAGACCCGCCGCATGGCATCTGTGTTGGTTATCATCGGAGAACGCACGTTTCGTCACGCACCTCGCGGTCAGTTATTTTCCTGGCTCATATGTCAACACAAGAAAACTGTTAGACCACAAGCTGTGAAGGCTGTTTTATGGAGCACAACCCTGTGCACCCTTACACGTGCAAGCTAACACCACGTACCTCCGTTCATGACGATAATGTTGTGCACCATCAACCGCACGTCACCTTCAAACTCCGACAGCTTGCTGTACACCTAAAGCGAGAAGGTAGGTGTTCAGTTCAAATCACAGCTTAACGCCTTTGCATACCACATTTTACCTGAAATCGCCGCCGTTGCCTAGCAAAGCGAAACACAGCATTCATCGCAGTCAGAACTCCCAGCTTGCGTTGGACGTTCTCATGCGCAATCACGCTGAACTGTTTACGAGCGACGCTGGATCTGTGAGCCGCTCCTAAGGAAGTCCCGGCCCGGGTTGGCCCCTGTCCGCGTCCATTCACACCTGTCTGTCAAGCTTGTCCTCGATGTCGAAGATCTCCAGCGGCCGGTAGAGCAGGTAGGCGGTGCGGAAGCGCTGCTCGGGGTCCGAGCTGGGGGAGAGCACGCCGGCGTCCTCCGCCGTCAGCGGCAGCATCTGACGGGGGAGCGCCCGCGGCCGGTCAGACGGCGGTCTGAGCCGGGGTGGCGGCCGGCCACCGCACGCCGCAGGCCAGCCGCGGTGGCCGGCGGCGCGCGGTGACAGACAGACGCACGCGGCAGACACACCGAGGCAGGGGCTCTGCTCCCGTCGTCAGACCGGGCAGTACCAGCTGGGGGAACGCGGGCACGTGGACAGCGTGACGTCATCTGCTCAAAGAACCAGACGGGACAGGCTGGAGGCCAGATAGGAGACGTCAGAGTAGGGCAGCACATGTCGGCACTGGCTGAAAGACAATGGGACGGGTGAAATCATAGCCAGGTAACACTGTGATTCAAAGGTACCCACTATTGTTTGATCAAATTGTTCAAAAAAAAAAACAGAAAGAGAAATACACACATGAAAAATAAGAGCACTCTGGTATTTCTTGCTTGGAAGCATGCACAAAATCTAGCAACAGACATCGTGGGCGACATATTCTACGAGACGCTGGCGCGCACTTGTGAGCAGCTAACACATTGTTTAAATATTCGGTGACAGGGTCGAGGGGCTGAGCAGACCACAACACAGAAGCCTAACTAAACATTATTTCACAGGGCCTTACCCTTGCTTTAAGGCGAAGAACGGTGTACCCCAAAAGCGTGTTGAGTGTTTTCTTCTTGATATCACATTGCTCCGCTGCGGCCATCTGAAAAAGCACGTGCAGTGGCCAACCCACCGAGGGGAGCCGAAGCAGCCGAATGACTGAATGGGTAAATCGCACTGAACAATACCTGGCCGAGGAAAACGCTTCGTTACCTGGCGACCATCTGGCAACTAAAGCAAGTTTCAAGCGTCACTGCCAACCTATTAAAGCAGAAATGACCGGGCATATGGATGGGTGTACAATGTGCCGGGAGTACAGACGGGTGTTGTGTGTCCTGCCGCTCTCCAGACGTGCCGCCCTCGCCTGGGATGCCAGCTCACCTGACACTGTGGGCAGGTGAAGGGCGTCTGACGCTCGGCTTCCGTCAGACACTTGCTGTGGCGGGCGGATGGGCAGCCGGAGCAGGCCAGCAGCTCGCCGGGCTGGTGACAGCTGGCGCTAGTACCAGTCGTGCTCGCTCGGCGCCGGCTACCGGAGGAGCGCCGCTCAGGCTCGGCACCCGGACAAACAGGCCAGGTCGGGCCACGACCAGGCGGTTGGTCAGCTCAGGTCAGGGCTGGACAAACAGGTCACGTCGGGCCACGACCAGGCGGTTGGTCAGCTCAGGTCAGGGCTGGACAAACAGGTCACGTCCGGCCTCGACAAGGCGGCAGGTCAGCTGAGGTCAGGCAGGCCAGGACTGGACCACAGGTCACGTCAGGCCTCGACAAGGCAGCAGGTCAGCTGAGGTCAGGCAGGCCAGGACTGGACCACAGGTCACGTCAGGCCTCGACAAGGCGGCAGGTCAGCTGAGGTCAGGCAGGCCAGGACTGGACCACCAGGTCACGTCAGGCCTCGACAAGGCAGCAGGTCAGCTGAGGTCAGGCAGGCCAGGACTGGACCACAGGTCACGTCAGGCCTCGACAAGGCGGCAGGTCAGCTGAGGTCAGGCAGGCCAGGACTGGACCACAGGTCACGTCGGGCCACGACCAGGCGGTTGGTCAGCTCAGGTCAGGGCTGGACAAACAGGTCACGTCCGGCCTCGACAAGGCGGGCAGGTCAGCTGAGGTCAGGCAGGCCAGGACTGGACCACAGGTCACGTCAGGCCTCGACAAGGCGGCAGGTCAGCTGAGGTCAGGCAGGCCAGGACTGGACCACAGGTCACGTCAGGTCTCGACAAGGCGGCAGGTCAGCTGAGGTCAGGCAGGCCAGGACTAGACCACAGGTCACGTCAGGTCTCGACAAGGCGGCAGGTCAGCTGAGGTCAGGCAGGCCAGGACTGGACCACAGGTCACGTCAGGTCTCGACAAGGCGGCAGGTCAGCTGAGGTCAGGCAGGCCAGGACTAGACCACAGGTCACGTCAGGTCTCGACAAGGCGGGCGGGTCTCGCCAGGAAGGCGATGGAAGTCGGTGAAATGAGTCCCAGGACTGGAATGCGAAATGCCAGTCTTTCCTCGGCGGGCGATGTGCGGTAGCACCACGCCAATGACCATAACCAGGTTGATTCTCATGTGCAGAAAGACATATCCCAAACTCTACTGAGGAACACACCAGCTGCACAGTACCAACAGAAATCTGAGAGCTTTATACTACTTTCTTTTATAAACAGCCGGGTTCAAATAACACTCACACAAGTACATCTAACAAGACAAAACAAAAAGATATTACCGCTAGCGCCACCCAATGCCCAATCTGACTCACGGGTCCTTTGGGCAGTTTATACAGTTCTTGTTCTTCTCCCTTCTTCGATCCCTTGGCTCCCAGCCGTTGCACGAACCGCACCAAACCATCGTCCACCACCTTAGAAAGCTCGTCCTCGATCACATCTGCGGACGAAAACAAACGCTCTCACTCGAAAACACGAAGCTCATAACACCACCACTGGGCGCAATCAGACCACACTAGAGTTCCCATCGACAGAGGACATGGTGAGCCTCCATCTGCGCACGCAGCAGCATTCAACACTCCGCATAATCTTGGCAGCGCTGATGTTGCGCGTTGTCCTCGGCTGCCCTCCCTTGCTTCCCAGCACAACCAGAACAGCTCGCTCACCAGGTGATATGCTGTTGAAGCGCATGATATGCTTGGATACCCTCTCGAAGTTGGGCTGCTGGCGCTGGGTCATGCAGCTCTGGATGGCATCCCACACCAGGTGGACGATGGTCGGGTCCGACTTCCGCCCCGTCATCTTTCCCCTGGGAGAGGGCATAGGATAGAGCTGTCAGGATAAGCATCATGCAACATCTCTGCTAGCGCCAGGTGATCCGTATAAGCGGCAGGTGGCATGGAGCACATAGTAGTTCCTGCTAAGTTCCCAGCATTCCTGAGATGTGTCTAAGGACTGTACAGCATGAAGACCAATGTCTTCACCCTCTACCAAATGGGCAGAACCTGACACCTATTACCAAATGGACAGAGTGATGAAGTCCCCAACAAATGGTGAGGCACAACCTGAAGCTGGTGCTTATCACTAGACAAGAAGACCCTGCCAGGTACCCACTTTGCAACCCAGCAAGGTAGTTTTGCATGATAAGTTGGGAGTGTGTGTGTGTGTGCGTGTGCGTGTACGTGTACGTGTACGTGTACGTGTACGTGTACGTGTACGTGTACGTGTACGTGTACGTGTACGTGTACGTGTACGTGTACGTGTACGTGTGCGTGTGCGTGTGCGTGTGCGTGTGCGTGCGCGTGCGCGTGCGTGCGTGCGTGTGGGGGGGGGGGGGTGCGCGCTGAGGAAGAGCATATGGCTAGACTCGCCCCTAAAATGTAGGAAAAACAGGCACTCCCATTATTTGACCCACTTTCTTCTCAAAGTCAGGGGGTGGGCCTGAAACCTGAAACTGAATGAGACTTTACCCCTACTGGAAACCCAAGCACTTCTTACATTGTGAAATGCAATTTTTTTTGCTATCCAATAAGCAACTAGCTGCTACAGTAATGTCGTACAATGTATCTGGAAAATTGGGCATAAATATATAAGTCCTTATTGTTATTTGACATGCACAAAACTTCAGTTACTGAATTCTGCAATGATATTTTCCGCTAGGCGATTTTTGTGCATTATAAAAATGTTAAGGTAGCCCAGAGTGTCTTTATTGTAATGTGGCTGACACAATGTCCCACTTATTGCATGATTGTCAAGCAGTATGGTACATATGGGTATGTCAAATTAATTGTCAGATAAATTAGTAAAGTGCCAATTGCCTTTCAGGATTTTTGGATGGCTGCCATGCATACAAGTTAATTATCACATTGATCAAATGATACGGTCAAGTGATATTGTTATGTGAAACTCAGGCTTTGTCTGGCCATGGTGTAAAAACAGGTTATTTGGGTTTTTCTTAAGTAGACTGCAAGCCGCTACTTAGAGGTCACTGGTTAACTGCCCATAACAATTTTAAAAAATGAAAGAATTTAGCAAACGTGGCGAGATCTCGTACACAATGGTCAAACTAAACTAGGACGACAAAAACGGGAACCGACGAAACGCGAACACCAGAATGACAGGGACATTGTTGTGGCCGTGGGAAAGGGTGAAGGAATGCGGGTGGGGGATATCAGATCAAGTTAAACAATGGGAGTGTTGATAGACGAAGTGTTTTCGGAAACCTGGCATGTATGTGAGGTGACAATGAGAGTAAGGATGATGTGTGTGATGCGATAATGATGTGTGATGCTATTGCTGTGTCCTATGTTTTTTAGCGTTTTTTAATTTGATACAAAAATGTTGGAATGCTGATATTCATAAACGGATCGAAGAAAAACAATAAAAAGAATACCTCATAAAAGGAAACATGAAGGTTCACACCATATGACAAGGTTGTACATTCAGTCAATAGTTGACTGCCTCCGTCCTCCCGGAGGTTTTTTCCAGACTAACTTCCGAATAGCGCAAACCAAACATTGCTGAGCCGCACGCGATCAAAAAGCCTTGATATTATTATTACTAATCAACATTTTATTACTTGTTTAGCTTAATTATTTGTAAACCATATTTTCATATTATTAGTATTATTAGCCTTAAACAGCCTAGGTCTTGGTATCGAAACATTAGAAAAACCTCATAAGGCTGCGGACCTAGAGCAGATGAGTCAGGTCATTTCTGTCAGCGAAAGTGGTTTACAGGGGATCGCACAAAATGATGCAACAACGCCGAGTTAGACAAAGCCATCAAACTTTGGGATGCTTTCTTACACGATAAGACAACTGAAATTAGGAAGGCGACTAATTCCATCGACCATGGGTCAATTACGAAAACCAGATTAAGGCCAAACCGGATAGCTCTGCTACCTGGAAAACTTGCTTTAAGCGAAAGATTTTTGCAGGCACCTTGAACTCCTGGATAACAATGACATTAAGATTTCTTCCTTTGACTTCATGAAGGCCATGGTGGTGACTGATCTCAAATGACCTCGATCACACTATTTTTGCATAGCACGCTGTATGGGGTTTGCATTTTTTCGCCGTTCGTGGCTTCAAATAAAGAAAATGATCTTGAACAGTTTCTGGTCATTACCTTCCAATGTCAAATACGGCCAATGACCTGATTCAAATTTGACACAAGCAACAGTTCACATAGAGCCCTACTTACCCTGCTAATTTTGCATCTCACATCCTCAATTTTGGAAGGCTCAGGGGCCAAATTGCCCCCGCCCCCATCCGAGCATGTCACATTCAACCGTCCACCCGGGCGCATATCGGTTACCTGTGAAACTATTCATCTGGGACAACACAGTAAAAATACACAGGGTTGGGCCTAGAGCACCACACTGAAGGGGTTACGCATCACTCAGAGATTAAAATCCAAACGATTGTCCCGTTTTCCAAGAACCCAACAGGTTTTGCAGCACTTTTACTTGAGTGGTGACCTAGCCCTCTCCCTGATTCGTTGTTTTTCATTACGCTGACTTACAGGGGGAGTTTCGGTGCGCCCCCTCCCCCACCCGCCCCCCGTCCCCCCGCCCCTCCCCCGTCGTTTCCAAACTTAGATTGAGCTCAGCAGAAAAAACTAGTGGATTGATCGCAACGAGATCTCGCGATTGGCAATATATTTTCTGTTGTTAGATCAATAATTTTCCCCATTCTGTGCCAGGCCAAAGGTCAAACTTTTCCCAAAACCATATTTTTCAGCTTTACCTCACACATGTGTCATGCACTGAAGTGACACACAACCTGAACAGGTGTGTTCCATGATCAGTTGCGAACACAATTGTGCATAGCTTTGTGTTTTGATCAACTATTAATATGGCACCACTAATGTAACAATATCGGCCGACCGCGCACACAGTGGCATACTCGGTTGCCACCCGCCAGACGTGCAGGCAGCGGATTATCAAACCCGAAAAACTGCTGCTGCTCTGAAACCAGGAATGCCATGGACGTGTTTCTGGCATTTAAACATGTGCAATAAATGCACCATGGGCCACCAAACATTTGAGCATGATTGCACATGATGCTGGAGAGGTGTCCTTAAAAAACCTTAGGTGTGCATTGGCACCGCGTCCCCCCAGTATCAGTTGAGTGTTAACATGGACTTCTCTTCTGCTTTGAAGGCAGAGGGAGCAAATGAGCATCAGTCTTGAATCACAGTGGTGGTTAAGTGATGCATAGGATGTGTCACTGCTTGGCAATGGTGGTAATTAGCAAACATGAACTTAACAATGTAGCAATGCCCAATAACTAGCTTAAAGATATGGTAAAACCTTGACCCCCTCAGACACAGTTAACTTAACTAGTGAGTCATTTGCAGAGTCTTAACCAGACAAATCTTAGCTAGAGATCTGTCTGCACATGTAAACAAATCATATAACGTGGAGGGTGATAAGACCATGCTATAAGTCAATGCAACAATGCCCAATAACTAGCTTAAATAGATGGTAAAACCTTGACACCTCAGACACAGTTCACTTAACTAGTGAGTCATTTGCAGAGTCTTGACTAGACAAATCTTAGCTAGAGATCTGTCTGCACATGTAAACAAATCATATAATGTGGAGGGTGATAAGACCATTCTATAAGTTTTCCACAAAAGTGTTGCAAAGTAGCTATAGCTCTTTTGACCAGAAATAATAGCAACTGTACTGTCATTTTCAATAGTATGATGGTCATAGCAATATAGAGGGATGGTTTGTGCATTTCTGCAACTTAGAACAGTGGTTATGAGCAAGAAAAAACTTTCCATTCAAAAGAGGGGCTATGGGTACCAAAGAAACAACTGTTCCCAAATCAGCAACATCTCACTCAACTTGATGGCTTCTGGTGCAAAAGAAGTAGCATTTTAACTTATTATGACCAGGTGCTCATCAAGCCTAAAACCAAACTAGTACCTAAAAAGATGGTGGAACACTCCTGCTCACATAGCTGTATAAGCTTTTTCCTTAATAAAACTGCATCCTAGGTATCAGAAGTAAAAATCATATAAATAGCTATGTTATATTCAATATGGAGGCAGTGCTCAGTATTCACTTACTCTGACCAGACCATATTAGAGCTCCAGTCTACCTAAACAGGCTTATTGGAAAGCATTGCAGGAAGATTGTCTGAATATTACTGAAAGCCCTAAGTCATTGATTTTTTCAATGCTATTATATTTTGTATAAGTTTTCAATATATAATACATCATATTCACCATTTTAGCATATTTTCTTATCTTATACTTTTGTTAGTCACACATCCATCATGAAGACACAAGGGTAGCAACTCTTTCCTGTTTATGTAACATCTATGTTGACATTTGCATGCCTATACTAGATATAAAACTTTGGAATACTTCATTCATGAAAAGCCTTAAGCACATATGTTCCACACACACACACACCAAGTAATCCCCATGACAATGGAAGCAAAGAACAACTTTGCTACTCCATTTCATAAACATGGCTGTATATGAATATGGAAAGCTGAGTGATCACAATGTGACAACACTTTATCTCAACCATTTACTGCAGGAGGCTTGCACTGATGCAGTAAGAATGATCAAACCCACAGGACACCGGCATCTCGATGAGTGTCGCACAGGGCATGAATGTACATTTACATGAATGGACCTGATAGAAGTAGCTTCTGGGAATATATTGGTCCACTGATAATCTAAACAGGCAAAATCAGGTCTCATAATAGCTACACTCTGTCTTAACAAACTTATGCAAACACCTCAATGTGTATTGTGATCGTTCAACCCCAGTGCAACTCACACCAAAATCGGAGCTTCCACATTGCCCTCCCCAAATGAACTTTGACCCCATCCGAAAGCCAATGCTCAATCCACCCTTCCAAACAGGACACAATTACGCAAAGCACGCATCTCGAAAAAGAGCATTCATGCCAAATTCCCGCAATCGTTTTGAGCAAATGGTGTCACGGTGGCACGGTGTAAAATAATGTAAAAGTGAACTAAGCTACAAAAGCGGGGGGTAAATAATAGCTCCATCGCATTCCCAGTGTGACCCATACTGTGAGCTTTGACAAGTACCTTGTAAATTTCTTCCTTGCACAGATCCCAAGTGGTACAGGCCTAGGAAGATATATAAATAAGCAGATATCCCCCGCAAATGATTGGCGTTTGGTGCACGGATATGGATGCGCGAGCCACCTGATTCCGGGATGGCTACAAGGTACGCCGAAAATAAATGTGCTTACTTCACCAAGTGTTAAATGACGTCTTTTCAATAAATAGAGCCAGCGATCACTTTTACATGATTTTCTTGTACAATAAGTGTTTATCAAAAATATTATAAAAAGTTTTGAAGGTCATATTATCTTTTTAGGCAAAACTATTCTCTGAAATGCAATAAAAAGTTCAATTTTCTCAGTGGTTCGAAAGTTGGGACAAATCTAGCGCAGCAGGGACATTTATTCACGGCGAATTGGACCAGGCTGAACACAGCGTCAGATCGCAAGGAAACCGTCTAATAGTTTTGGTGGATTGCACCAGAGCATACATACGTAGCAGGATACGTGCAGTGTTGGAACAGTCATCGAGCCGGCTGTGGGTTTGCTGTGGTTTTTATGCACTTTTTGTGATTTGTCTGGACAAATAAGGAGCCAGATAAGTGTAAGGTAGCTTTGAAAAGCCCTCTTCATTGCTGTATGCCGAACGGCACAAGCCGAGCTCCATTATGAACTGTAATGGACCCTCTCCTAAAATGTTTATCAGTCACAGCTGTCACTGCTGTTGTGGAAAGCACCTGATGACAACTGAAAATTTAAGCATACTTGCCTAGGCCATTTTGTGTCCAATGTAGCCATGTAAATGTCAGCATTACATTAACATCACCGCAGCCTGGAGACTGGATGTGCAAGTATGGCATGTGCAGTAGGGCATGGGGATGCATCCAGTCCAGATTGTCCAGATTTTATCACAGTTCCTATGTTGTTCCATCCCATATTTGCTTTGGTCCACCCAATGTGAGAATGCATGATATGTGTTGCTGTGGTTCCATGCAAAATCCTCATGCATGCATAAATATATGTTTCACAGGTCCTGGCAGAGCACCATGGCATCCAAGCTTGCTGGAAAAGTAGCAATTGTCACAGCATCAACAGCAGGGTATAATATTTTTGTGGATTTCTGTTAGAGTAAAAGTGTCAATGTGGCACAATGCATTAAGCCTCCAATGAGAAAGCACTGTTCCTTACCAAGCATAAATCTTATCAATAATCTAAGATAGGCCAGATATTTTGATGACTGTTTCACATACATGGTGCTGTTTTGTCATGTTTCCTTGTTCTGCCCTAAAATATGTTGTGATTTGAACTGAATAAAGGCAAAGCAGATAAATGAAGGTAAAGCAGATTAGAAGTCCATAATTGTGGAAGCTGATCCATGCAAAAATTGTTTTTTTAGTTTTGTTTACCCAATGGCTCTGCCTTCTCTGTAAAGTTTGTAACTTGTGTTCATGTCACATTACAAATAGTGTTGACATTCATGTATGTCAGAAATTTATGTATGTTTGTAATAGATAGATATCATATGTGAGCTGTTTGATTCATCCTGTATCTTGCTTTTGTTTTGAGTTGGAGTGCAAATTTGAATAGTGTGCGGACAGATTTGCAGTATGTCAATAATTGTGTAGGTAATGTAACAAATGTAAATGTTGGTGCTTGTGCCAAATTGTCTGAAAAGCAACACCCAACTCACAGTGTAATGACCAATGAATTGTGTATCTCTCTGTACTACTTGTGCACATGTATGATCATGTCTGTAGGCACATGTGTGCTCCCCATACATGCCCACATACTTGGTCTCAAGCTCTGCACCAAATGCCCTGAGTATCAGTGACTGTTCCTGTGTGGGGCCGCACCTACACAGGATTGGCCTTTCGATCGCGCGTCGGCTGGGCCGCGATGGCGCGCGCGTGGTCGTCAGCAGCCGCAACCAGCAGAACGTGGATGCCACAGTCAGCGCGCTCAGCGAGGAGGGCCTGGAAGTGTCCGGCGTCAAGTGTCACGTGGGCAACCCGTCAGAGAGGCAGGCACTCGTGGAGCGGGTGAGGCAGGCCACAGTGCTTCGCTGGGATGTGGACCAGGTAGTGGTCGGCTCTCTGAAAACCGTACTCCAATCAAAAGGGGATCACAGGCGTCACTAAGATAGGCTGGTATTGACCAGTCATCCTTTAGGTGACCCCTTAGCTGGCCCCTTGGCATTCACATGGTGAATATTAACACGCGCTCGGGCGGGGGTCCAATTGACCCCCCCCCCCCCCGAAGGTTTTTCCAGAATGGTTTCCAAACGGCGCGGCGTAGCCGCGCCAAATTTTGCATAGCTGTGACAATTGAATAGCGGATCATTTGGCATCAAAAATTTATATGTACCTTGTAAGGTCGCTGACATTTTTTTGACATACATTGACTCACACACAAGGTCGAAGGCAATTTTTAGGGAATCCTTCAATCTGATCAAACAACAGGAGTGTTAGACAAAGCCATACATATCTGAGATGTTTTCTTAGGCAACACAACAGTTGAATGAGCAAATTACATTGACCTAAGATCAGGTATGAAGGTCACACCAAGGTCAAAACCAACCTGCTTTATTACTCTAAGGCTTGTTGTATGGAATAGTTTCTGGCGCTCATTTCGAGTTTATTGAAAGCAGGAACCGCATCATGCATCTTCCATGGACATCTTAGAGGTCAGAATAGGTCATTGATCTAAAATGACCTAAGTCAACATTTTGTTTTAGGAACATACTGCCCAGCGAAATCTTTGTCGCTTAGTCAAATGCAAAACTCAAAGCAATCTTGTATGATTTTGGTCACCTTGACCTTAAAAAGGTCAAACAATGTCACTGACCTTAAATGATAATGTGACCTTTTGCTTAGAAATGGTTACCTACGTTCTGGGGGCACTTTGGAGACCAACCTGGAACTTGACCTTGTTTGACCTTTTTTGACCCGAAGGTGATGACCTAGGAACCTGAATTAGCCTATGTGAGTTTTCGTACAGGTCAACACACCCTGAAAATTTGGTGTCTGTGGCGTTCTTAGTTCCAGAGATCTCAGGGGGGTCAAATTGACCTCCCCCCCCCCCCCCACCCGAGTGAAGGGTATCTAGTCGGCCGCCCGGGCACGTGTTAATGTTTAACGATGCTGTTCTCCTGGGCCTGCATGTACTCTGCTGGGGTGTTTTGCTTCTGGATTTAGTGGGTAAAGCTTAACTTGCTGATTTCTTATCCCGATATCAACATTTCTTGGTCATCATCGGACAAATACTCAACTATGTCGTGGCCACAGTGACGTGCAATGTTGACCAGCGACCTATTATTTCAGTCATGCGTTATCTGCCGACGTATCCATATAGCTACTTTTGTCCAGTCAGTTCTTAAGTTGTTCATCCAGAGCAGACCGCTTACTTTACTTCCCCGTGTCTACGCGTTAGCCACCACTGTCTGTTCTATGTTGCAGGCGCTGGAGAAGTATGGTGGTATCGATATCCTTGTGTCCAACGCGGCCACCAACCCAGTGTTTGGCGGTCTCCTTGACGTGAGTACCTGTCCGCGTGGTGAATCGCCTGATCTGGGTAGCCGTCGAGTGCTACCCAGCCACGATGTCTTTGTCGACGTTCTATTAAACGCACGCTGTAGTCATATCATGTTGCACTTCATATCAGTGCTCGTCGCTTGAGTCCCTGGCCTTGAACCGAAGCCTGTCGTTGCTTGAGTCTCTGGCCTTGAGCCGACGCCTGTCGTTGCCTGAGTCTCTGGCCTTAAGCCGACGCCTGTCGTTGCTTGAGTCTCTGGCCTTGAGCCGACGCCTGTCGTTGCTTGAGTCTCTGGCCTTGAGCCGACGCCTGTCGTTGCTTGAGTCTCTGGCCTTGAACCGAAGCCTGTCGTTGCTTGAGTCTCTGGCCTTGAGCTGACGCCTGCCGTTCGTCAGTGCCCGGAGGCCGGCTGGAACAAGATCTTCGACGTGAATGTCAAGTCAGCGTACCTGCTGACAAAGCTGGTGGTGCCGTACATGGAGCAGCGCGGTGGCGGCTCCATCGTCTTCATCGCCTCTGTGCTCGGCCAAATCCCGAACTCGGTCAGTGCCATCCCTATTTCGGTTAGTGTGATCCCTGACTCGGTTAGTGTGATCCGTGACTCGGTCAGTGTGATCCCCATCTCGGTCAGTGTGATTCCTAACTCGGTCAGTGTGATCCCTAACTCGGTCAGTGTGATCCCTAACTCGGTCAGTGTGCGCCGCCGGCCGGTATTTCCCGAGCCGACCCTTATCCCAGGCTATGTACTGGATGGAAAGGGCTATAACACCTCAGAAACAGCACTGTCTTGGTGTTGAAGCTGCTAGTGATCTGGTTTCACGAGATTTATCTTATATCTGTCGTTATATATACCTTGGCAGTCATCCACGGGGATGTCCACGCGTTTTTCCCTGCCGGCTGTTAGCGTGGCCATCATTCGGCACCATCGTCCCGCGCTGCTCCGACAGATGCTGGCCGCCTACTCGGTCAGCAAGATGGCTCTGCTCGGCGTAAGCCAGGTCTACTCTAAGGAGTGTGCGCCCAAGAACATACGGGTCAACGCGGTGGCACCAGGCTTCATCAACACCAATTTCAGCTCTGTCGTGAGTATTCACCTGCCCGTGTGATTATTATAATGATGCATACATATGATGATGGCGTCCCGTTAGTAATTATAATGTAGCGTAAGGACAAATGTGTTCCCTTGTCATAATCTGCGCGAGCGTAAGACGTGATTTTGGACATTATTCACGACCCTTCTACAGTTTCCGGCGCTGAAAGCCAAGGACAGCTGCCTTTGAGCCATGTTTGAGCAAACCTTTTCCATAAATATACAATAGAAACATGCCGAGCGTCCAAGCGAGTCACGGAAAATGAAACGTCTTGTTTATATGGCACGTTTTGGGCGTCTTGTCATTGGCTTGCATCACTCCGTTAGATTGCAGCAACAAGTTTCGCTGGTTTAACAGGTCATGTATCAGTTATATTCTTCCACAATGGATTGTTTATGCATGTGTCTAGTTGAGTTTATGGTATCACCCCAAGCGTGGACGTCAGGCACAGCCTTCACTGTCAACGTGTATTGGTCTTTTGATGTGCGTTGTCCTTCTTCAGTTGGTGAACACGGAGTCGATTCGGACCGGGATCGAGAACAGCATCTACATGCGCAGGTGAGTTGTGTGTAGCCACTGTCCTGCTGTGAGCTGGTGCGTTGGCACCCGCCGTTGGGTCACGGTGAACCGGTAGTCATGTGGGGAGTCATCATATCAGTCGATGCATTGACATGTTGTATTCATGACCCATTTGGGCCCTTGGCTAGACCTCGCGTCTAATGCCGAATGTTCTAGAACTTCTGCGGTTTCGAAATCGCTCATGGAAACTGGTTGGCGCAGGCTTATTTGTGTGGAAGGTCCATTATTGGTATGGGTGTGGTCGAGGTACTGCGGTAAGTGGTCGGTCCCAATGGTTTTGTTCCTTGTTCACTTCCTGAAAGGTGGCAGCATGTTTTACTTATTCATGAAACTACGTTCCTTTTGGCAGATACTTGTCCTCCGCGCTGTAATGGCTGTGCCGCGTTAAACATCATATGGACCGAATTGGACCGACCGAAAAAGCAGCTGCGATACTTTCAATATGGCCGTTCGCGCCGCGTCGAAAGCGCTACGGTCGACGCCAAGACGTTAAAGTAACTTCTCGCTTCTTGGCCATTGGAAAACGAACTGAATATTGGGTGGGGGTAGGATTTAAGTGAAATTGTTATTGTGTAACTAATGTCCTGAACGACCCCGGCATAGTTTGCACGAAGTGGTCTGCCAAGCTAGCTGGCGTCAAAATCAGAAACAGAAGATTGTTATGTCTTAAAAATTGCAAAACCGTGAACTGCACTGAATGACCTTCGGAAGGGCCATCTCATTTTAAATCCCCATACAAATGTGGAACACTTCTGTTAAGGTGTAAGTGCTCAAAACTGCTCCGTTTTGTACCGCGGTTTCCGTCTTATTTTGCTGCAGAAGTATCTGTAATGACCCAAACACGGCAGGTCAGTGCTTGCATCACTTTACCGTTCTTGATTGTAGCGGATGTACAACACCGATGGCTCCAAAGTTCTTACCGTTGAGTTAACGACCTTTAGGATGCCAGGAGGTGGCGGTTAACCTCCGTTGCAGTGGTAAATAACGATTGCATAGAGGGTACTGAATATTTTGAGGTATACTCATATTCAAGGGTGTCAGGAGCTCGGACAGCTTCAGCAAAATACAAAATATATATATATATCAAAGTTGGGTTATGTTGCGCTACGTTCCGTTGCTGCATGTCGATCTGCAATACGTTCTTCCAGTAGTGTGTACGCTCCCGGAAACGCGCGTCACTGAGGTGTTTAATTAAACATGTCACGAATGTAACGCTTTGTTTCTCCCACATGAAAGGTTTCTGGACAAAGGCTATATGATATAATTATGCTATGTCCTTCTGCGTGCGTCTCCTTTGCAGTTCTTTCACACGTATATGACAAATCTTATTCCCAGCTGGACACATTGTGGTCTCCAGCGTTGATCATGCTAGTATGGGTCAAACAGTGTCACTGTGAAAGAAGGTTTCAAATGTACATAATTTGTTTGTTTTGCTTTTTTACAAGTTCTACGTAGACCTATCGTTGCAGAAATCTGGAGACCCTCTGTGTCCAGAGCATCCATTCTCAAGGAAAAGGAGAGACATTTTGGTCGAACTACGCCTTCACGATTGTGGATCAGAAGATACTTGCACCGCTCTCGGCATCCGTAAAATAAGAGCCGCTTTGTTGGTAGCCATGGGTTGCGCCGAATTGTAATTTAGTAGGATAGGAGCGGCCGTGGGTTTAAAGTAAAGCTCTGTGGTACAGTTTCGTCGGGTTGAACTGCAAAAAGTGTGTTGAGAAATGCCCGCAAGTGTTGTGCCTTGCGTTCCGGTGTGGAAGGAATTACGGGGGTGGTGTTGAGTGATTTTGGCAAAGCAGTCTGTCATAGCCAACGTTAACTCATAATGCTGGAAAATCAGAAGCTGAAGGCCTCTTTTCTGATGTCAAATACTTATGTTAAGAATGGCTGTAAAGGTGCCTTAAATAATGTAAGGTATTTCACACAGTTTGCCCAAATCTTGACGCTCCTTGCAGAAAACTTAAATGCACCCTGAAATTCTGTAAAGATGTGATGGTGTTTGCGTGGAAAACCGTCAATTTACCCCATTTTACGATAATACGAAAGTTTGATAGCGTAGAACTGCATACAACATCTTTACGCATGACATATAGGCACATAAAATCAGTTTGTAACATCTAAGATATCCTCCACTGGCGACATTAAATGTGTAAGAATTGTTAAAAACATTCGTGTATAAACGGCCAGGGTATGGTCTAACAATAACATCAGTGAGGCAAGCAAATGAAGCGTCGATTTCGGCTGATCAGCACGTGCGTTTCGCAACAGATAGCCGGGCCTCCCCGTAACTGGCCCGGTGTACCTCAGTTTTTTCCAGTTTGCATGCGAGTCTGTGCCATTTTACAGCTAATGTCCCGCTTTAGACTGTACACGCCTGCTAGTAATTTAACGTGGGTGGTGTCGATCTAATGGCATGATACATGTATGCTAACACACGTCATCGACACATATGCATTGAATGTGAGAGAGCCACCTCCTAAGACACTTCTTTCGCGCTTGTACATGACATTTTCCTTTTTCGTTGAGCCCCCGCGAAGGTTTGATGTACCCAGCACATCAATCCACTTTTCTCTCTAAGCCTCCTGTTTATGTACCCAGCACATCAGTCCACTTTTCTCTCTGAGCCTCCTGTTTATGTACCCAGCACATCAGTCCACTTTTCTCTCTGAGCCTCCTGTTTATGTACCCAGCACATCAGTCCACTTTTCTCTCTGAGCCTCCTGTTTATGTACCCAGCACATCAGTCCACTTTTCTCTTTGAGCCTCCTATTTATGTACCCAGCACATCAGTCCTCTTTTCTCTCTGAGCCTCCTATTTATCACAGTTTTGCTCCACACCCTCTCCAAGCCAACAAATTTTGCACCATTGAGTGGCCCAGTGAGTTAAAATGGATGGATACGGTGTAGTCCACCCAGGCTCTTGTCGTCCTTACAGTCAATAAATGGTTTGCAAGCGGGTACATAAAGTCCCCTCCGTTTCCCCGATATAACATGCACATTTACTCACGTTACAACGAACATCATATGTAACGTTGCTTGTTTTACAGCCAATCGTCCGATCATACGTGTACATTGTAGGTCTCTTACTAAATCGTGATCCTAATAAATCCACCGACAGGTGATGCAGTTTCTTTCCACGCACCTGTCTGCTCCTCGCTCGACTGTCCATGGCTTGTTTGCATGTATTAATCGGCCTTCAGGCTTGACCTTCTTCGGTAGGATACCAGGGGTTGGTTAATAAATATTTTCCGCACGTGTTTGGAGTGATTCAAAACGAGTTGTTTGGTTGTAAGTATTTGTCTAATGCTGAGCATGCCCCTGGAGTAAGTTATAACGAGGGGGACCTGGGTCAACACCTTTCATTCTTGCTCTGCTTGTTGCAGCCAAACAGATGTTCACGCTCAATTTTGTAGGCCCTAGCAAAGCTATTGTTTATTAATCTGTCGGGGTACGTCGTTGTTTTGAAGCCTAGCTTTCAGATCTTGTCCATGCCGAATGTGTTTATGTTAGCCACTGTGAATTGTCTTCAAACCGCATATCTGATCCAAGAGGCCCGTCATTTTTGGTATGGTAACGGTGGTCTGATGACGAAAGGAGATAGTGTTTTCTGTCGGATGGTTTTGAGAACAAATCAGCTTGGGTGTGACCGTATTTTAGCCGCACAATTACGTCTAAGAATTTTATGTCGGTTTCGGCATAACGAAGGACAGCTTAAGTTTATGTGTGTATGCTGTTTGCGACGTTATTTTATGATTATTTTTTAGTTATATTTATAATATTATATTATTTGGGCTATTTTGTAGTGCTTTCTGACCATGTTTCTATACTCAAGAAATGTTTCGAGATATCTGAAGTAAACTGGCGGTTTGAGGTCCGATTTCTGTGAAGTTGTTATTCCCACGCCCCCAAATACTCTACGCAAAATTTAGGTATCAATATATCAGTGTGACACCGTGTCATTTGCAGTGCACCACACTGTTATTCACACGATTAATTCAGCTGCACCGTCAGTGGATCATTTCAGCGGTCATTGGGTCAAGCGGGGCCAGGCTCAGACACGTGCGATTATGTCACGCTTACGGGTGGCACATCAAACTGATTGAGAAGAAGCATTCCTTAAACTGGATTTTACACTGGCAGGATGGTAGGTTTAGGATCTTTTCAACTTGTAGTAAGAATTCTGGTCCCAAGGCCATGGATGCCAAACAATCGAGGCTTTACTGTCCGCCTGAGCCGATGTTCCGGGCATGCTGTCCACACTCTAGGCTCGTGACGTTTGTGTGGCGTTCGTGTTCGTGACGCTCGTGACCCGGTGTTCTGAAGAGCGCACGCGGATCGAGGATAGGAGGATAGGAGGACCCAGGCTACCCTCGATGTTCGGCAGGATTGGGGAGCCGGATGAGGTTGCCGGCATCACGTCCTTCCTCTGCTCCGACGACGCCTCGTACATCACCGGCGCGGTGATGAACGTGAACGGCGGCCTAGGCGGACACCATGGGCAGCAGCTCGCTGTAGTGTCCAGTGCGGGCTTGCGAGCCCCAACAGAAGCGGTGGTGACCGTCAGCCGTCGGCAGGGCGCGCTCGCGACGGCGCTCGGCGGACGCGCGCCCCGCTCGGCGCAGGATGGCCTTAGCAGAGCGTGTAGTAGGATCGTACTGCCTGCGCACTAGTATGGACTATTCACGGGAGGGGCAGGAGAGTGTGTGTATAGAGTTAAACTGTCTGCAACATGCTATTGATCGGTATTAACCAGAGCGCACGACTAGATGTCGGTACGCAGGCTTGTGTGTCATGAAAGGGGGTGTTCAACTTAGCTATTGATCGGTTTGTAGGGATTGTCGTTGGGTGATTGTTGGTGTCTGTGCAACTGTTGCGTATTCATGTGTCATAGGCGTCCTCGTTGTTGACCAGCATTAATATGCTTCATGTGTGGCTTCATCTCAGGAAAAGCCTTCCGTAGAGCGAATTTTCTACCGCTGAGGAGGTTTTATACTGTGCAATATGCAAGCGTCGAGTCCATTTCGGGCGCAGACCTGCTTGATGAACTTAGGATGCGTCGTATATCTAAACATTAGAACGGTGACAACATGAAAGCGTGACACTTCTACCATGATTTTGGTTTTCATTTTCGTCATTGTATTTCGTGGAGCCTTCACCAACGTAAAAGCAATTGGTGTTGTAGCAATTTTGATATTCCTCTCCCTCTGTTGTATCCAATACACGTTTGATACCATGCCACTGTGCGTGGTGGTAATGAAATGTATTCTGTGACATGAGTGGGCTGTGATGAAACACGGCGCATGCAGTTGGGCTGGGTCGGCTTCAGTGGGCCGTTGGCAGTAGACGGCGGTGTACTAGCAGTGAGGCATGTGCCTGGAGCCACTAAAACGACCTCAGGATCCGAATAACAGACAGCCCTATGGGATCTTGGGTCCATCCTTGGGATCCAGACGAATGTCTGCCAGCAGTATGCAGGGAAAGCAACGTTACAAGGAATGTACCACATTTAAAGATATTGAAGCAAGCATCAGACGTGATGAAATGAGCTAACTTATAGCTGTTTGTAAACTTTTAATAGGGAAAGGCTGCCGCAGATAGCACAATTTCTCCGTTTAGTTAACGTGCTCCTCAATGCGTCATTGTTACCTTGCATCACCGTACTCTGCACGGCGATGTTTGAGAGCCAGTTGACGGCTATTTGATCTGGAAATTGTGCTCGCCAACGCCAGATTTGAACGCCATGTGTGAACGCCAGATTTGAACGACTTGACAATTATACGGAATGACATGATTTGAATGACGTTACTAAGGCAGTATGGATGCCTGGTTGCCATTGAAATAGTGAACCATACTCTGGACAATGGATAAATAGCTAATGAACGGGACTATGCACTGCACCGAATGATCTTGAAGTTGTTTTTCCTGTCCAAAACCCCATACAAATGTGGAAAATATTGTTTGATCCCAGCAGATATCGTGTAAAATGCATTTTCCATGGGTGTACACCATGTACTAATTCTTGAATTTGTTTTGTCGAGCTTTCCTCCTTTTCCGATTGGTTGGTCAGCGTTAATTGTGACAGGCCATTGCGTCACGAGCGCTGCGAATAATCATTGTGCTGCCGGATATAAAGTACATTTGTAAGGGATTAATTATGAACGGTTCAGGGTCGCTGAGCAGCTGATAAGTTTTGTTGCATGTAGATAAGACAAACCTGTTAGCCTTATTCCTCGTAAGATGATTAGGAGAAACGGGGGATAAATCTATTACCATTTCGGCCACATGCTTTTATCGAAATAAATGTCGGCTGTAAATGCAAAATTGCTAGACGATCTCGCTCTTTTTTTGACGACGAGTCACAGTCTTTACAAGTCACCAGCATTCCGGTCATTAAACAGGGAGCGATTGCCAGCTTCTTACAACAGCAGTGTAGAAAGTGCATTGCTATAAATAGGACCGCATGCTTGTCATCACCTTGTGCGCTGCCGGAGGTGCGAGTAAATTTCCGTTGAGTGGTTTTCGTCACAATATGTTAGTCATTTTAACTTAATGTGGGCCGGTTCATCAGGATAAGGAAATGGTAAACTGCCAGCCTGCGAAATAACCTTGAGTTAAATGCTTGCGATTGTGCATTATTAAATGGTATCATCCTCTGCACACCGCGATGCATCTGAAACTTGAAACCCGTGCAACCTGGAAGTCTGATTCAATCCCGAATTGACGAACTCCTAAAATGACAGGAGAACGCAGCTCTTAAAAGGCGTTGGCCACACGATTCCAGATAAAGCTCACACTCGTTCCTAATGATGTCACTGAAAAGCGCAAGGCTGTCAAAAACAGTATCACTGTTTTTGACACCGACACCAATAAATGATGTCTGCCGATTATCTAGTTTAACTAAGCATGACTGCCTTTGATGTCAGGTAATATCTCTGAAAAAAATAGTAGTGAGCCCATTTACATGCATCGCATTTCTACGCGCCCGTCGGCCGCAGTGTGTAACATCCTCGCAAAAATAGCGTATATTTGCCGCGCAGAGACACCAGTCGTCATAGCGGAAGCGCAAATTCGGTAGAGCGCTCAAGTATACTGACCACATTTGTGATGTGGCGAGACGCGTAGTGATAGGTTCGTCTTCCAGAATGAATGTTCATGTATGGCTCACCAACGAAGGCCATTTGGCCGCCGGCCAGGTAGTGTCCGCTTGGTTGCAGCGGAGCCGACAGTCGCGTAGTCGCAGGGCACGCTTAAGGTCCTTTCGTTCTAATGGAACAAGGGGCCGAGGCAAACTGGATCTGTTGAAGATGTATTGCAATAATGGGATGGTAGGTTAAGAGTGCTGGCAGTATGCTCAGCAAAAATCTGATGAAAAGGATGTCCAGGCAAAATTTTGTCTTCTGCATGGCTTCTCATTCTGTAACTGAACTGTACCAGTAATCTGAAGTATTGTTGCCGCGTCAAAATAAACCATTGTTGCCCTGTTTTGCTGTCTTATGAGATATATCTGTCTATCTGTCTATCCTACAATAAAGAATCGGTAGCGACAATATCATGTTAAGTTGCTGGAAAACACGCCTTGGTTTACATTTGACGGACCTCAATGGAAGTTACTTCTCATTTGAGGCCATAATATTGAGGTTGCGGCTTCAACTTACTTAGCTGCACCGTCCATGGCGACGCCACTACGAGGAAATATCAGAGAAGATGGTCTTTATGTAACGGTGAACTCTTACGATTTTGTAATATTTCACCCCAAGATATTGGGGGCAAGGGAATATCAAAAGCATGCACATCGACACCCGTGCTTTGGCAAGATATTTTCCGCTTATACATGGACCATTAAAGAGAACGGCATTATGTGCTTTGAATAGCTTCCAGTTAAGTTTTTTTATCTTTTGAATGGTACTTTTGTCCGTCAAAATCAAAAGTAGCTCACCAAGAGACATGTGTCGTCTTATATATTCATGATTTAATACACGTCCTGGCGACGGGTTAAATACCCTTTGCTCGGATCGGGGGTCAATTTGACCCCTTGAGATATCAGGAAGTAAGAGAGTTGGAGACACCAAATTAAAGGGTGTATTTGCCTGTATGTGAGCTCACTTGCGTCAAAATTTCAGGTTTCTAGGTCATGACATTCGGGTCAAATAAGGTAAAAAGGTCAAACTACAGATGGCGTTCAAAGTGCCCCCAAACGTCCTCGTGCAACCGCCGTGAACCTAGATAATTGTTCGAAGCAAAAGGTCATTGGTGCTCATGCAGTGTCAGCGACTTTGTTTAATATTTAAAAAGTCATGGTGACCAAAATCATGCATGGCTTCTTTGATTTTGAGTCGGAATAGGCGTCAAGGATTGCGCTAGGCGGTATATCCCTGAGAACAACATGTTGACCTGTGTCTTTTTGAGACAATGACCCAATCTTATCTTTAAGAAGTTTATTGAAGATGTGTAATGCAGTACCTGTTATAAGTAAATCCAAAGTGAGCACCAGAAACTGCCTCATACCGCGAGCTTTCGAGTAAAAAACAGCTTGGTTTTGACCTTGGTCTGGCCTTTACACCTGACCCTAGGCCAAGGGAAATGTGTATAGAGACTGACGACAGGGTGACGAGCAGTAGCCGGTGTAGGCGACCTCAGACGACAAAGGCAAGCCGACGTAGTCCCACATCGGCTCCGGTCCGTGGCTAGGCGACCTTCCCGACGTAGTCCCATATCGGCTCGGGTCCGTGGTGAGGCGACCTTCCTGACGTAGTCCCACATCGGCCCCCGGTCCGTGGTGAGGGGACCTGGCCGACACAGTCCCACATTGGCTCCGGTCCGTGGTGAGGGGACCTGGCCGACACAGTCCCACATTGGCTCCGGTCCGTGGTGAGGGGATCTGGCCGGCGCGGTCCCACATTGGCTCCGGTCCGTGGTAGGGACCTTCCCGACGCAGTCCCACATTGGCTCCGGTCCGTGGTGAGGGGACCTGGCCGGCGCAGTCCCACATCGGCCACGGTCCGTGGTGGGGGACCTGGCCGGCGCAGTCTCACATTGGCTCCGGTCCGTGGCGAGGGGACGTGGCCGACGCATTCCCACATCGGCCCCCTTCCGTGGTGAGGGGACCTGGCCGATGCTCCACATCAGCTCCGGTCCGTGGTGTGCCGATCTGTAGCACAATTTTGACCGAGCGACGGCTACCCGATGCTCTCCGCGATGGTGATTATCCGAGCTCATGAGCATCCGTAGCATCATGACCATCATACGGCCGTGTGTTCGCAGCTGTCCGAGCTTGACACAACCGTCTGGCGGCCGGACGTTGATGACTATCCGAGCTCGACACGACCGTCTGGCGGCCGGATGTTGACGGCTATCCGTGCTCGACACGACCGTCTGGCGGCCGGATGTTGACGACTATCCGAGCTCGACACGACCGTCTGGCGGCCGGACACAGAACGCGCCTCATATCAAAGGGCTGTCAGACGCTTCGCCGAGAACAAGCCACGGCACGGGGCGTCTTGTTAAAGCCATGATGCCTGATTGAGTCATGTCAATCACTTTCCTTTCCCTTCCCCCAGAAAATGGAGTAATTCGAGCCCATTGCACATGTAAGCCTTGGGTGCATCAGTGGTTAGTTTTCGCTGCATGTTGCAGCCAGTGCGTTCCGTCAGCGCGATGTTTCGCCGTCATTATGCCGTCGTCCAGATACGGGAGACTTCCTGATTCCTATAAGGCTGTCTAATGTTTATGTTTTGTGCATGCCATTGGTCTCTGTCTTAAATCCATTATCAGCAAATAGCATTGCCCCTCCCCACCCTCTTGCCCCTTTCTGTATCCTCCGCCCCTACCCACCCGCTCACCCCCTTCTCGCCAACTAACGCCATCCCCTGCCCCTCCCCACCCGCTTGCGCCCCGTCGTCAGCTGAAGCCATGCTCTACCCCCCACCCCCACCCCCCGCCCGCCCCCTTCTATATCCCCTGCTCCTACCCACCTACTCGCCCCCTTCTTGTCAGTTGAAGCCATCCCCTGACCACGTGATCACCCTCTTCCCGTCAGCTGAAGCCACTCCCTCCCCTCCCCACCCGCTTGCCCCCTTCTCGGCAGGTGAAGCCAGACTTTCATCATGGTGGGGTGCAAATCATTAGCGTGTAGGCACCATAGGAGCTGCTGGGGTGGTATACTGTCGTCTTGTCATTCAGACTAGCGGGGCCAGTCTACCACTGCTGCGAGCCGACCTCCACGGTCATGTACAGCGAGGTCAGTCGACGACTGCTGCCAGCCGACCCGCACTGTCATGTACAGCAGGGTCAGTCGACCACTACTGCCAGCCGACCCGCACTGTCATGTACAGCAGGGTCAGTCGACCACTGCTGCCAGCCGACCGGCACTGTCATGTGGAGCAGGGTCAGTCGACCACTACTGCCAGCCGACCCGCACTGTCATGTACAGCAGGGTCAGTCGACCACTGCTGCCAGCCGACCGGCACTGTCATGTGGAGCAGGGTCAGTCGACCACTGCTGCCAGCCGACCCGCACTGTCATGTAGAGCAGGGTCAGTCGACCACTGCTGCCAGCCGACCCGCACTGTCATGTAGAGCAGGATCAGTCGACCACTGCTGCCAGCCGACCCGCACTGTCATGTAGAGCAGGGTCAGTCGACCACTGCTGCCAGCCGACCCGTACTGTCATGTACAGCAGGGTCAGTCGACCACTGCTGCCAGCCGACCCGCACTGTCATGTAGAGCAGGGTCAGTCGACCACTGCTGCCAGCCGACCCGCACTGTCATGTACAGCAGGGTCAGTCGACCACTGCTGCCAGCCGACCCGCACTGTCATGTAGAGCAGGGTCAGTCGACCACTGCTGCCAGCCGACCCGCACTGTCATGTAGAGCAGGGTCAGTCGACCACTGCTGCCAGCCGACCCGCACTGTCATGTACAGCAGGGTCAGTCGACCACTGCTGCCAGCCGACCCGCACTGTCATGTACAGCAGGGTCAGTCGACCACTGCTGCCAGCCGACCGCACTGTCATGTGTGACAAGGCACCGTGCAGGGTGACGGGACTAGTTGAAAGCTGCTTCCTGCGGAGTGGCATGTTGCCGAACTTTGTCGACGGTTCGTCGCACGCGACGGTTAGATCCCGGAAGTCGGCCTGGCGGCAGAAGGCATGTGAGACGGCTTGAGTCGGGCTGGCCGGTCCTTTTCCTGACGTCCGTATGTGTCCACATGGGTGGCCAGCCGGCTTGAATCGGCCAGGCGGTACCATTCCGCATCTGGCTGATTTTGCCGCCCAACCATACTCTTTTGTCAGATACTAGACTCGGTCACTGCCCCGCCTCTGGGGCGCAGCAGTTACCCCAATCTGCCTGCAGGACGCTCCCCGCCGTCAGATAGGCGCCTCTGGCGGCCGGCCGGCGCGGCGGACGCGTTCTGTTTGCAGCCGTATTGATCGGCGGAGCGGCGTATTGACTGCGACGAGCGCGGCGCGCCGCGCCGGCCGCCGCGCGGCCGCCGCCGGGGGGCGGCGCGCGGCGGCCGGCGCACGGCGCGGGGGCGGCGGTGCGCCGCCACCAGACCGCCAGCGACCGCTGTGTCGCCGGGCGCTGAGCCGGCTGCCGGGCGGTGCAGGTGTGCCTGTGTGTACGCGCGCGCGCGCGCTGGTGTTGTGACGTCGTTGAGGACGCTGGTAAAGGGCTGATCAGCTGCGGCTGAGCCTGGCTGTGCGGCGAGCGGATCAGCAGCAGCAGCAGCGGGATCCATCAGGGTAAGTGGGCTCAGGTGCCGCTCTCCGCTCATGATGTCTTACGCAGTGTAGCAACGTGTCACAAATGTGTTTTGCAGGATTAATGACGGACAGGGTCCCGATCAAAATGGCAATCAGAGGCTCAGCTTATTAAGGGTTGCGTCCTTAAATACTCAGTATTTTTCCTCTTTGAGTTGTCACGTGAGCCGTATGAAGTTTTCCCCAGAAGTTGCAGGGAATAAAGGTGATTTCACAGTTATCAAGCACGATCCTAGGTGTAAACAATATTCACCAATACACAGAACTAAGCGTTTCCTGTTCGAATCGGGGAATGGCTTGTTGTCGTCTGAACTCTTGCTGTTTCCACCGGGAAAGGCTCACTGTTGCCTGACGAATATTGCAGTACCTATGTCGATATGTGACATTAGGTTGTGCTAGGTACGATACAAATACCTGGGGGTACTATTCGACTAGTTTTCACGGCTGTAATTATCACCCCAAGTACAACTGATGGGCGAGATCAAAATACCACTGTGCGCGTTGGTATAGTTAAAGGCTTGATATGCGTCGTTAAGCCATCGCGATAAGCCACATATTCCTTACGATGCTGGTCATCTATAGCATCACACTTTCATTTGTCCGAGTTTCCCTGTTCCGTCTTGATGTTCCAGCGGCGTGTTGGCCCACGATAGCAAAAACAATTCATCGAGAGGGTGTTTGCATTGCACAATTCGGGGTCAAGGAGGTTAGGTGTGTAACATATAATTGGTGACCTTGTTCTTGATCCGATGTTCTTGCAACATGCAGGAAAGCGTGAAACGCATCTGTAGCAAAACAGCACGTATGCTACGCAGACAATAATGCATAATGCCTTCCTGTGCACCTGATTTTACATTACACATGCCGAAGCCGACCCACTAACGGCTGACCCAGCCACCGCTGTAACGAACGTTACTCAGACACTGCTGTGACGTGCGTCACAGCAGCGCCGGTCCCGAGCCCCGGCGTCGGATCGACAACAGTGTGTCACTGACACCGCGTGACCTCCCGCTGATAACCGACGAGGGCGTGTCAGCGACGCGCCGTAGCCTCGCCGCCGGGAGCTAACGGCGGCGTGTCAGTGACAACACGTGACGCGGCCTGGTGATGGCTGCAGGGGGACGGTGCCGGACCACTTCCGACGCTGTCGCCGCCGGGAGCTAACGGCGGCGTGTCAGTGACAACACGTGACGCGGCCTGGTGATGGCTGTAGGGGGACGGTGCCGGGCCACTCCACAACGCTGTCGCAGCCGGGGGCCGCAGTGCAGTGCTTGTGCTCACCAGGACGTCCGGGCATCTGAATCCGACGACAGAGATTAGCGGCGAGCAGTGTGAGCCTGAGCACATTTGTATTGATTTACCTTTTGATAAAACTATTCACACCGGCACCTGCAGCGGCATCACGCAGTTGGGCAGGAACAGTTCACCCGTTGGCAGTTCAGGAGGGCGCGTAAGGCATGACATGTTAAAGACCAGTACTGGCCTGCTGCGTAGCGCAAGGTGCCCGATGTTTACAAACATGCCAGTCTTAATATGCTCCGCGTGGAAATAAGCCTGACATACAGACACCCCTCGTCACCACCCACTTGCTACTTGCCGCCGGCCTGCAGCCGCGGTGGCGGACGGGTGGGCTGGTGACGGCGCTCGAGCGCGGCCCGGGTCTGTTCCGGGCCGCAATGTCGCCGTTATCCTGCCGACATGGACGGATTCGGCGCGGTATGTGACGACCGCCGGGACGGCTCTTACATAACTGGAGCGGGAGCATAAACTGGTGACGCCGAGGCCGCCGAGCCGGGTCTGCCATGGCGCAGCGGGCCGCCCGAGCCGGTCTTCCACGGCGCCGAGCCCGCCCGAAGCCGGGTCGCCACTGGCGTCGGAGACGCCCGAGTCCGGGTCTGCCCACGTACACGCGGCGCCGGAGCCTCCCGAGGCAGGTCTGCCCGGCGCCGGGCCGCCCGACCGGGTCTGCCATGGCGCGGAGCCGCCCGAGCCGGCTCTTGAACGGCGCCGGAGCCGCCCTAGCAGGTCTGCCACGGCTCCGGAGCCCCGCCCGAAGCCGGGTCCGGCCATGGGCTCCGGAAAGTTCTACCGAGCCGGCTCTGCACTGGCCTGGAGCCCGCCCGAGCCGGTCTGACCAGGCGCCGGAGCCGCCAGAGCCGGGTCTGCCACGGCGCCGGAGCTGCCCGAGCCGGGTCTGCCATGGCGCCGGGGCAAACGCCGTGGCCCGAGTGCGGCAGGAAGCAGCTTTCGGCCATCGAGCAGCCGGACTATGTCATAGACCATGGCTGGCTGGGGGAGCGGTGGCGTGAGTGGCATACTGCCTCAGCATGGCATGATGGCTCCTGTGATGCACTACCAGACCGTCACGCCATAGAAACATGTCAATAGAGCGACATGGCTAGAAGGACTTGCCCAGACTGACTGCTATCCTGTCCAGTTGCAGCCGTGGTGCAGGTATTGCTCCACCGGCCGCCCGGCATCCCACGTAGGCCAGTGCGGGTGGCCGCAAGCGCTG